TTCAACTTAAAAAACACCCTGTATGCACCATTAAGTGTACACCTACATTTTTTCATCCTGAAAATCATACGTACCCCCGGATGTTTAAAGGGCAACAGAAACGGGGCCCGGCTTGCAGTGAAATTGCCCTGCAAACCCTCCTGGATACCCCCAGTATTTACCCCCCTCCTTAAAAATTTGCGCCATTTTGGGGAAAAAACGGAATTTCCTTCCCAAATCCCCGAGAGGGGCGCGGGTTTGTAGCTGCTCACCCCAACAGACGAGCAAGAATCTTAAATAAAATTAAGGGTAACAGAACGGGGCAGATTGCGCACCCTCACCCCAGGGCTTGGGCGAAGAGTTAGTCAATGCTTGGGCTGCAACTCTAGCTATGAAAATTTTTCCCCCCAGTACCACACAGGAAAAATTTAAAAATGACAAATATGTTTTCCCAAGGGGGGAGACTTTTTTTGTTTTATGCTCCCCCAAGGAAGTTGTTTGAAAAAACCCCTTTCAAAAAATTATGAACTTGATGCAGACAAAGGGGGCAATTTCCCACTTTCGCCGGGTGAGGTGGTATTACTTACAACATCCCTTCAGTTTGCTGTGTCGAGTAAAGGAAAATCCATTATTTTAAATTTATAAAACTTTGGCTATGAAAAAGGGGGAGCCCCCCAATTTTGGGAAAACCAACACCCCTCTTTCTTTCCAATTCCAACCCCAATCAAAAAAATGCATTTCCCCCAAATTTCTTTTAACTAGTTTCTTGTGAAAAAACTTTTTAGAAAAAGATTTTTAATTTTCTAATTTTCCCGAATCAAAAAATTTTTTGTTTTCCCCGGGTTAAAGGTTTCTTGCATGGAAGGGGGCGTGCATCTTTGGGCATAGCCCCCTTTTTCCCCCCTGCACACGACACTCATACCTATTTTCCCCTTGCCTTAAACCCCGTTTTCCCGATTACCAACCGACATGTAATAAATTAGTAAAACTTCCCAGAAGGATTTGGAGGATGGTTTCTCTGTTAAATTAAAAAGGCAACCTGTCAACAAAAATTTCGTCTGTTTTTGTTCCAGGGACTTTGGGAAGTGAAACAAAAAGACTTTGAATTAGGAACCCCAGGGGGGGGTGTGTCAGCCCCCAAAACTTTTTCAATTTTCAAAATTTAAATGCATTATTTAAATGCAAATCCCTAGTCAGCCCCCATCTTTATGTGATTTTTTGCTGGGATTAAGATTAAACACCCCGGATTCTCCAACACCCAAAACATTCTTAATCATGTACAGCCTGGGTTTGGCCCTGGGGTTAATAATCTCTACGGATAAAAAAAAGATATAAATAGGTCCTCCCGACGAGAGGCCCCTTTTGTCAAACCAATTGCATGATGGGTCTTTTCTAGAATATGTAAGCAATACGGAATTTTGGGGTTTGGGGTTTCCCACTATTTGGGACCTTTTTGAAACCCAAGATTTTGGCCCCGCCAATAAAAAAGAACGACTAAGAGCACTTAAGAGTTGTGGCAGGGCTTCACCCCAGGATGGGGGTTTTTTTTAATTAAAACTGTGAAAATGTTGTATCTTGCTTTTTTTAGTTCTTGGTTGATTATTCTGCGCCACAAATTGTTTTCTTGTGTCAAAAGGGAAAAGTTTGGAGAGGGGGGAAAAAAACCTGAAAGAACGAAGCAAGGGGGAAATCATTTTAGGATCCCCTGTACTCCCAAAAATTTTTAAAATTGAAAAAAAGAACTTGAAAACCCAAGAAATTCAGAGATCGTGTTACGAAATAAATACCCTTTTTTTGGGGTTAATTGCTCAGGAAGCCCCAATTAAAACCCCCGCACAGAAGCCCTCCAAACTTTCCCCCAGCACTGGTAAAACACTCCTCCAAAATGGATCAAAAAAATGGAACCGACCCCCGCAGAATAAAATACATGTTTATGTCAAGTAAGGCAACAGGGGGGCATTTTTCCCGCTCCATAAAAATTTTTCCCCATTCCAAATACCATTCCCCCTTTTTCCCCCCAAATTTCCCTTAAATCAAAACCCCAAAAAACTTCGCCTTAAAAGCCAAACATGGGGCCTTTAAAGCTGTTTAAATAATTTTAGCCCACACAGCATACACCCCTCGCAAAAAATTTTTACGCTGAGGGTTTCTGTTCACCAATCCACTGGTGAGCTGGTAGTGCTGTGTTGTCGTAAAGGGGATGGCCTTTTAAAAAAAATTAAAAAGACGAAACAAAAATTTGGGCCTCTTTCCTTCGGACAAAACTTTTTTTGCCATACCCCTTGCACGAAATGCTTTCTAGTATAAAAGATTGCATTTTTTAATTTTGTAATGATTCTTGCCCACCCCATAAATGCTTCAACTCATTAAGCAAAAATTTGTGGCATGCTTGTGTCAGAACCCAACACAGGTATGGTAGGTTTTTTGGGGCAGTGGAGTCAGAGTGCACCCTGCTGTGGATTCCATCTCACATTGGTCTTCGATGCATGATAGAAATGAAAAAAGGGTAAGCTTTATGCTTTCAAAGGGGATTTGATTACAATTTTTTTGGGGTTGTCCGGTAATTTTTTGGGAAAATAATAAGAAAAAAACTTTAACTGAATTTTTTGGACTTAAGGGTCCGGGAGAAATTTACACCATGAGTCCATCTATCACCCTTTCAAACAAACAGGAGGGCCACATGTCTATTTTGGTTGCCAATCCCCCCAAACAATAACCCCAAAATTTGGGGATTTTCACTACCGCCTGGCTCCGGCTGGGTTTTCAAGTATCTTTGGGAGGGGTTAAATTCCCCCCACCGTTTTAGGGCCAAAAGAAATGGGAAACTTGCCCTAAAGGAATTTTGGGCACACCTTGCGGGAAATTTTGTAGGGGGTGTGATAAAAATTAATGGAAATTTTGAAAAAACTCACTTTAGAAAAAGTTCAAGAAAAGGCCCAAGTATTTTATTCCCCAGGGTATATTACAGACCATTTTGGAGAAAACCCTGACTTTTTCTACTGTAAATTTAAAACAAATTTCCACAAATTTTGCATGTGGGGTGGTTTTGGGGTGTGTGTGTGTGTGTGGTGTGTGTGTGGGTGTGTGTTTTGCGTATGTGGGATGAGTTTTGTGGTGTGTGCGTATGGGGAAAGGTGTGTGTTGTGTGCGAAAGTGTAAGGTGTGGTATGTGTGCGTTGTGTTTTTGAGTGTTTTATGGGTGCGTATGTGTTAAAGAGGGGTGGTGTGTGTTTTGTGTGTTGTGTGTGTTGTGTGTGTTGTGTGTGTGTGTGTGTGTGTTGTGTTTTTTGGGGGTATGTGTATGAGTGTGTTGTGTGTGTGTGTGTGTGTGTTTGTTGTGTGTGCGCGTAGGGGTTTTGAGTGTTGTGTGGGGTGTGTGGTTTTGTGTGTTTTGTTGTGTGTGTGTGTGTGTGTGTGTGTATTTAAAGAGTGTGTGTGTTGGGGTGTGTTGTGTGGGGTGTAAAGAGTGTGTGTGTGTAATTTTTGTGTGTGTTTTGAGGTTTTTGTGTGTTTTTGGGGTATAGTGTTGTGTTATGAGGTTTGTGTGGTGTGTTTGTGTGTATGAGTGGTGTGGGGGTGGTATGAGTGGGGTGTGTGTGTTGGGGTGTGTATGAGGGGTGTGGGGTGTGTATGAGTGTGTTTGTGTGTATGAAATTGGTCCCCAACAATCAATATTTGCCCCAAAAAATCACTACCGTTGTGAACCCGGGTTTTGGAAGTGTGAAATTTCTTTTTTGCTCTAAAAATTTTTTCATGATTGTAGCCATGGAAAAAACGTAAGAACCATTCCTTTTCATTTTCCCTTAAATCTGTAAAATTGTCAAACTATCAAACTTTTGAGGTCCCCGTCCCTGGAACCCCCTTTTTTGGGACCTTTGAAATTTTTTTGACTTCCGCCCACAGGGGTGGGGTTTTGGGGGGCATAATAAACATATTTAAAATAACTAAAAGTAGTTAAAAAAACAATGACAAAAGGCGGAAAGGGTTTAAGCCTTTGGGCAAAAATGTTAGTGATCCATAAAATTTTTAGGGGGCCCCGCCACAAAAATACAGAGTTTGGGCAACAACACTCCTTTAAACCCGGTGATCCACACATCTTTATTTTTGAAATGTTTTTTGCCTACACAGAAAGGGTTTTTTCAACAGTAAAGATTTCCCCCGCTGTTGGGTTTTTGTCTTAACTCGTCCCAACCTTTTTTATATTTTATACCTTTTTTAACCCTAAAGGGAAACCCATGGGGTTTTAGCAGTCCCGGCTCGGTAGTTACAAGTACTTAGGCAGTTTTTGGGAGCACATGAAAGATGATAAACCAAGTGCGTTTTGGCCAAACCCCGTGGTCAAATTTTTTTTTTTTTTTTTTTTTATTCGCCCGGGATTCCCCGGCCCCGGGTTTTTTTCCAATAGTGGGACCCGGGCCCTTTGGTCCCCATCTGGGGAGTGTTTTCGAGACTTAACTCCCCCGGGGGGAGGGCAACCTTTCCCCTGGGTTTTAAGATGCCCCTTTAAATTTTCCCCCTTATTTTAGGGAAAAACGAGTCCGTAAAATAACCCTTTTGTGATATACAAGATATTTATTAATGAAAAAAAGGGTGCCCGATATATTAACAAATTTTTTAAAAATTTTCTTTTTAAAGATAAATAACGTAGTAAAAAATCCAGATGAAACCCTTTAAAACCCCTTTTTTGGGGCCTAATTCATAGGGCCCTTTTTCGTATCCATGTGCTCTCCCACTATCGTCCAAAGGAAGGATATGGGCGCCCCCACAAAATAGAGGTTGTGGGCAAAATCTAATCTATCTAAAATGGGTGTATTTAAATAGCAGTGAAAAAAAGTTTAATTTGTGGTTTACAAAAAAATTCATCCGCACAGCGTTTTCCCCCGGGCCCGCGAGATGATTAATTTAAAAAAAACAAAAAATTAAACCCCCAACTTTTATGCCCCCCTTTATGTCACACACATATGGGTTCCCCCTTTTTAAAAAAATCAGAATGGTAAGAAAATCACAGTTGCCTGTCTTACCTGATGTCTAGGCTGGACCACTCGGGTAGTTTGGAGGGACGACGGGTCCAGTACCAGGTGTCGTTGTTGGGGAAGGTCGAGTGGTCGGGGATGGACCACTCATGACCATCAGGGTCGTCGGGGATGAGGGGGTCGTCGTCGTACTGCCTCTTGTGAGGGTCGTCTGGAGTCATGGTAACACTCCGCTCCCAACGACGAGTATACCACAACTGATCTGGGGAGGGGGGAGGGGGGAGCCAGGGGATGGTGGTGAGGTAGTGGAACAAGGAAGGAGGTAGTTTGCAAGGAGGGTAGATGTAGGCATTAGAGGAAGAGGGGGAGTAAGGGGGAAAAGTGAGGGGCAAAGGCGTTGGGGAAACAAGAACGGGGACGGAGGAGGGAAAGCAGGGAGGGAGGTGGGGTGGCGGAGTGGGGAGGGACGGTAAAAACAAAGAAGGGGAGTAAATTGAGTATAAAAGAGAAGGGGGGGAGTAAGATGGAGAGGGAGCGCAAAGAAATGGATGAAAGGATGGAGGTAATGTGCATACACATTATTTATATATATATATAAAATATATATATATATATATATATATATATTTACCTGGGTTTATATATATAATATAAATTTTATATATTAATATATTATATATATATAATATTAATTTATAATATTATATATATATATATATATATATATATATATATATTATATATATATAATTGTGTGTGTGTTTGTGTTATATATAAAGAACGTGAACAAGCGATACAGATGCAAAACAACCATAGGAGGGAGTTGAATAATAGTTCTTGGCCTTTCGTCTTGCAATCAACAAAATCACCAGGAGCTACAAAGTTGCAAAATGAGTATGAAATCTCGGCAGATATCACTGTAGCATTTTTTCTATATAAAGTGTCAATAAATTTTTATTTACACTATAAGTTACACTTCTAACTTACACTTTAACTTACACTATTTACCAGTCGTGCTCCTTGAGCGCGACTGGTAAATGGAACTGCCATTTTCTTGGCAGCATGACTTTGAGAGTGGTGGCACTCACCTCTCCTGGGCCAGGTCAGAGCCATGAGGGTGACGAGGCTCTGGTTAGCTGGAGGCACTGCTGGGGGAATGATGTCAGTGGTATCAAGGCTGGCACCGATGAGCAGGGACACCAAGCTAGCCAGGGTGATCACCAGCGCTATCCTGAAGCACCAAGAGATTTCTTTTATTTGTCAAAATTAAATACATGAGCAGTGTGTTTGCTACCTTATTCTGCATGACAGTTACACAGCGGGAACAAAAGCTAGCTGCTTCCCTGTCATATTCCATCTCACAAGTAATAACCTCTCCAAATCCTTAACGAAAGCCGACATCAGAGTTGCCATGATAACTTCCAGCACAGTAAAGGACTCAGTCACAGAAATAGAAAACAGTCGTCGTCTACGTGACATCCTGTCAAAATTATATCAGATTTCACACTGGTGAAACTTCTGGAAACCTGAACACGAGGATCAGCGAACACAGAAATGCCTGTCAGAGATGTAACACCAACAACCCTTGTGATATTCACCTCTACACAGAAAAACCATCCGGTGATCTTCCCCAGCGTCAAACTGGTTATCACAGAAGCAGACAGATGGAACTGACTTTGCTTAGGAGACGCTCTGATAGCAACCACTAAGACCATCCCTCAGATATTAAGTTCATTCCTAATTTCTGAAGTATTGGCTAAACTTATTTTCACTGGACATGACACAGTTGTTACATAAACTATAAGGAGAAGTAACGAAAATTTGAACCTTGAATTTCCACTTGTTTGAACACATACTGCAAGTGACGTCACTCGCTCATGTTGCACCTCACGTTGCTATGCTATACATGCGCTCTCTTTCTGTCTGTTAGCATTGATAAAGTCTCTGGTGAATGGAATATATTTCTCAATATAGTGCCATAAACCACATATTTAAAATGCTATAGAGAAGTATGTAACATCACTGATACACAAGCAACATCATGGCGAAAGTAACAGTAATGTATAACCCTCCACCAAACAACAGCATGCCTGTAAATACATACACACACACATACACACACACACACACAAAACCACACACACACACACACACACACACACACACACACACACACACTGGAGGACCAAGCAGGATAACAGGAAGGCACTACAAAGGTGGGGAAAACTTGTAGGAAACGCAGCGGTCATGGTCTGGGGGGTGCAGAGTGGGCACTCTGACCCGGGGGGCCCCCAGGGGTCAGTCCTAGGACCCGTGGTTTCTGGTATTTGTGAACATGACGGGGGGAATAGACTCGAGGGGTCCCTGTTTGGATGACTGAAGTTGATGAGAAGAATTCCTCGACGAAGACAGGCAGAATACAAAGAGATCTGGACAGGCTGAACCTGGTCCAGAATTGGCTCTGGAGTTCAATCCCACCAAATGCAAAGTCTGAAGATTGGGGAAGGGCAAAGAAGACCGCAACGGAGTAAGTCTAGGGGGGCCGAGATACAAACCTAATAAAGGGAAAAAAGATCTTGGGGGAGTATAACACAGGACACTCTGAAGCGCACTTAAACCCAAATATCTGCTGCAGCATATTGGCGCTAAAAACCTCAAGAAAAAAACATTCCGACATCTTATAAAGGAATCATTTCAGACCCGTACACACGTTTAACGTAGCCATAGGGAAAGTATGCGGCACCGTTTGGAACCCACCCTACCCAAGCACGTAAAGAAACTAGAGAAAGTGCAAAGGGTTTTGCAACAAGACTAGCCCCCGGCTAAGAGGTATGTCCTTAGAGGAGGGTTAAGGAAATCAACTGACGACACAGAGTAGCAGAAGTGAATGTTTGGGAAGCGATGTAGTGGAGGAAAGATCCATCATAGCTTAAGCAGAGGTATGATAAAGTCCACGGCCAGGAGAATGACCTAGAAAGCGATCTGAAGGGGCCCGGGGCCAGGACCGACTCGACCCCCGCAACCTCAACTAGGTGAGTCAACTAGGTGAGTACACACACACACACACACACACACACACACACACACACACACATTCGTTTGTGTGTGTAGTAGTAGTAGTAGTAGTAGCAGCAGCAAAAGTAGCAAGTTAGGGTGATTTAAGGAGAGATGAGAGTATGAGATTCGTGGGTCAGATCTCTAAACATTTTAGGAGTTTTCTGGTCAGAGGTTACGCTAAGTTGTAGAAATTACTATTCTGGCTCAAGTTTTTTATAAATATTGTTGAATGTTGATGTAAGACACCTCGTTTAGGAGTTGTTCTTCCTGGCAATTTATAGTGCACTATTCCAGGTAGCCAATGATTGTTGTTTTTCTGTAGACTCTGCAGGTATTTGTATGAGTTGTTTAATATGTTAGTGAGATGCAGTGCATACATAACACCTCTGCAGGTCATCAAAATTTGCACAATCATACAATGAACTGGAATGATATGCCATTAAGTGACAGAAGGAATAACACTCAGAAGACGATTTGTCTTGAATCAGCACTTCTCAATCAGTTTTAACCAAGATAGCACACTACAACTTAGCACAAGCTCTGACCAAAAACTCCTGGGACAGTTGGGGACTGATGTGACCTGGCACGTACCTCTCTCACTGCTTACCTCACATCATCCCAGCCTCTCCTCCCAGGTTTATCTGTGTGTGATTTGATAAAGCCCATTGCATGGGCAAAATATCATCCACTAAGTTTCCATATATCTGCTCTTGTTTATATCACACTGAAAGGAGGACAATGAACCCGCATAACTCGTACGCAGATCCACACAAAATGAGTCACGTAATTACTGAATTGGTAATTTAGTTTATAATAAACCAAATGTTTTGTTATTATATTATAAGTTTCCATCCTTTCATTCTTGACAAGCTTATTTAGTTAGAAAACTAAAGCAATTTTATTCCTACAAAAACTATGACTAGAGCAAATTTGGTGAAGTGAGAAGGAAGGGAGAGAGACATGGATGATGAGGTACACATTAAAAGCCCAGAACAACATTAACTAACTTGAACAAAGAATCCTTCAGGATACTTTACATAATGTATGTATGACCCTCCATAGAGTATGCAGCCCCAGCTTGGAGCCCTACCTGATGAAACACATTCAAAAGCTAGTGAAAGCTTAAAAGCCTGAAGGAGACATGGATAAGCAGGGAACGTATCTTCAAAATGCAAAATCCAAAGACCAGAGATAAGTGAGCAAAATGAGAGCTAAAAGCTCAGACAAGTCACTGGAACACTACGAAGTTTTTTTTTCCACTCTCACTGTAGCAAAGAAATTAAATATGCTACATCAGAGACAAATACTATACACAGTTTCAAGAAATATACACCCGGACAAATGAGGAGAGAATCCATTAAACATATATCACTTTAGTTTGAGAACTGTGACCACGAACAGTTTCGACTCTTATAAACACAACTTTCTGAGTAGAACTCGCCGAGTATTGAGTGTGAAACAGCATGTCTTCTGGTCACAGCATGTCTTCTGGTCACAGCATGTCTTCTGGTCACAGACACGGAAGCCCTTTAAAGTGGCGGCGGCAGGTGAGGGTGGCAGGTCAAGTTACTTAACACCTGAGACACATACCTGGATCCTTACGTGTGTCAGCCTCGTGATAATGCTGATTATAACCTTCATAGCTTATATCTCACTGTATCCGGTCTTCGCTTAATGACACTTTGAAAAGGTTTAATGAGCTTATTGGCATTGTACATTGCACTTTATCATAGTACCTTCCCATGACTAAGACTCAGTTGCTTGTTAGAGATGGATGGATATATTCACTAGTACAACACTTGTGCTGGAGCGAAGTGAAAGTTAAATATATGGATATACCTCGACAGAATCGTAATATAGATCACGGATGAAAAGTATTGAAATAAATCAGTCAGGCTAAAATATCTCACATAGAATAAAACTGTATAGAGTATCATAGACGTAACTTTATACAGTTGAGCAATGGTAAACTAGACATTTCCTTTGCAATATCAAAACTAATGTACCGTGAATAATTCACTTTTAGCTTCTTAAGATATATTGAGTGTAAGAAACAGAGGCTTCAAAAGCGAAAATAAGACGGACCAGGATAAACAGTTTTGTGTCAATAGACAGTAACTGATGGAGGACATTTATATAATGGATCCAAACTTGAGTATATAATTTAACTTTAACCAGTGGAAGTCATGTCATATAAGTTCTTTATATTTTAGCTTAGACAATGAAGCTGTTATCTGGAGAAGCGAAGCTGAATTCAAAAAAGATCAAGGAGATAAAACTGCATGACAGACTACTCATGACCAGTCATGGGGTCCCATTTGTGTGGGAGGTGTGGGGGAGGAATGTGGGCGTACGGGGATGGGGTCGAGGGCGGCCAACGTTTGGTTTCGTGGTTTTTTTGGTCTAGTCTCGCGTTCAGAGGACCAGGACTTGAGTTTCCTTTACACAGTCGTCATCCCGTCGTGGAGGTCACCTCCGGGAGAATGTTTAGTGTTTTGGCGAGCTCTTGCGTGTGTCTTATGTGTCCTTTGTGTCCGAAAGGTTTCCCGCATATGTTTAAGTGTCACCCATGGAACTCAAAAATTAGTCTAATTTAGTACATTTTCTTAAGAGATCCCCGGAGTCACGTTCTTAGTTTTCCTGAACTAAAAATATTGCCATTTTATGTAGGCTCGCCTAGCAGGCTTAAGTGGGGCCTAAATTATTTGAGCGGGTTAGAAAGTCAAATTACACTACTGCCAAGGAAAGAGCTCTGTCCACAAGGCCATATCGCCCCCATTTTTTCCTCACCTCATACAGACATAGACAGGATATACACCAAGAAACCGTTCATCCTTTCGGTGATACTAGGATTTGCATGAGGCTGTCATCTGCTGAGACGGGGTTTAAACCCCCAGAAGATAAAACAAAGTTTTGCAGGGGGCAACGGTAAACAAATGATTCAATGAGGAAAAATTCCCAACTATTTCCCTTATGGAAAACTGGGGAGTAAAAACTAAACGATTTAAACTACAAACCGGATTACAATAAAGGGGGAAAAATAATGTAAGGGACCGGGGGATAGTAATGTCTAGGTTTCCCCTTTTAAAGGATCACAACATCCCAAACATCGCACGTGCAAAGAAAATTAGGATGATAATGAGAACGTTCAAAAGAGAGATGCCAAGCCATGGCCTTTTTTCAAATCACTTGTTCTCTCTAGATGAATACTGCTGTAATTAAACATCTCCATTCAAAGCGGGTTTTGAAATCGCGACTAGAGGGGTTACAGAGACCCTTTACGACTAAAGTTCTGTCAAGCACCTTAACTACGGGGAACGCTGGAAGCACTTGACTTGTACCGTTGGAACGCAGGGGGGAGAGATATATCATAATCTACACTTGGAAAATACGGGAAGGGAATGGTCCAAATTCAAAAAGAATCCCCCTAGAATAAAAGACGGGCGGCGATGCAAAATGCCCCCCAATTGAAAGTAGGGGCCCATTGGTAAAAAAAACCCTAAGGGGGAAAACCCAAACCCCCATAAGTTGGGCCCCCCGGCCCAAAAACGGGGTCCAAACAGCCCCCCTTCCCACCCCCCAAGCATTTTAAGGGGAAATTTTGGGGGCCCATACCCCGCCGGGGCTGCCCCGGGAAATACCTAAACCGGGTTTGGGTCCACCGGGGGCCTTGCCTATTTGGAATGCTCGCTTTTAAAACAGCCCCAAAAAAAGTTGTTAGTGTCACAGGCTGTATACCGCCCGCTTGTAAAATATAAAAATATTTTAATAAACAAAATATTAATTTTAAATTTTTTTAAAAAATTTTTTTTAAAATTTAATTATTAAAAAATTTTTATTAAAATTTTTATTTTAATTATTTTATTAATTTTATTTATTATTTTTATATTATTATTTTTATTATTATTATTATATTTTTATTTTGTTTCCCAAAAACTTTTTTTTGTGTTTTTCGTTTTTTTTTTGCTTCTCACCGTGAACTTTTATTAATCGGGGGTTTACCTTGTGGCATAGAAAAAACCACAAGGGTAATTTGTGCTCTGTTATCTTTTTTTTATTTTTTGTGCTTTATTTTTTTACTAATTTTTATAACCCCGACAACAACCCACTATCTCATATAACAGTATTATTATTATTATTAAATCAAGGGGAAGCACTAAACCCTAGGATTATACAGCGCCTAGGGGGGATGGAAAGGCATTCAGGCTTAATTCAGGAACTGGCAAGATCCAATTCCCCTAGATCAAGAGCCCCCACCACGTAAGGAGCCTTCCTTGAGGGGATAATAGTAACGTAACAAGCACAACACTCGACACCTTTCTGCCACTGCTAGAAAAATCCATACCGTACAACAAACCCCCCCCCCGCTGTATAGCCCTTGGGCTTTGCGTTTTTTTTTTGATTATAAAATAATAATACTAAAAACCCCGCCCCCCACCCCCCTTCATCAATACCCCTGCATTTCGCCACTAATAACCTTCACAAAATCTACCTTCATCTGAGCAAAACTTTTCTTCCCTGTCCGTCATAAAATTTCCAAAAACCCCCACATCTTTTAATATTTAAAAAAACCCAATATTAAACAGTACAAAACCTTTTACACCAAGTATCACATACTTCTTCCCTTCCCCAAAACTTCCTCTGATACAGATGTAATCACACTCTTTTCCCCCATCTTCATTTTTCCCCTTTCCCACGCCTTCCCACCAGGAAAAATACTCAAAGTAACGTTATAACGAAAAAGAAATTTTTTCAAACGAAAGACGCAAAAAACGAGACTCATCTCAATTGCAGCTACGGACCCAAATTAAGAGAATTTGTCAAAGTCGCCTTGTTCCCGGGTTAACTGCATATGAAAAACAAGATTAAGTTTAAGCAGGGCTGGTATGGCGCTGTACTTGGAAGGTTTGGGAAAATTTGGATAATTTCAGTTCCCATGGTTCTCAAAATTACATCCTGTACTGGATGCATCACAGAAAAACCCAAATATGTGGGGTGCCATTACAAAACGGGAAAAAAACGGAAAACCCCCTCATGATCTTTTGGTAGGTAGGCAGATAGTTTTTAGATTTGAAGAGTGCTTTTATCAAGTCTTGGAGACTTCGACGTTATAAAACGACTGGGAAACTGGAAACCCCCACAAGTGCCTAGAGAAGGGTAACACTAAAAGACCAAAGCGAAGAGAGGCAAATATAAATCCCAAAGAACGAACTTCTATTTTTCCGGGGGAAAATAAATTCATTCTTTGGGTTTTTGGAATGTTTAAGGGGCAAGTGACCCCTGCAGAGGACGTTTTATTTTGTGGTAGCATTACTGAGAACGAGATGGGGAAAAGTATGAACCCCCTTACAGAAAAGGGAAATGTGAAGGAATGATAAGTTTTTTCGGAAATACACGGACCTCACTCACCGGGGGACGTTTGCCCGGAAATGACGAAATCAATGAAAATCCAGGAAGGATGTTTGTACTGGGTGCGGCTAAGTGAAAAACATTTCTAATTGGAAAAACCATTTTTTAACTGGCAGTGCAAGGAGGAGATGAAAAAATTAAAAAAAATTAAAAAACCCCCTTGTCTTATTTTTTGCAAGTGGGTTTCCAAAATTAAAAACAATTTTTTTAATGCCGTACTTCATTAGGGTGGCGGCGATGCAGAGCGGGAGTTCCTGGTGTCTCCGAAGGGGGCCAAGGTCTTGGGGGCTCGGTAAACACACCAGGAAACTCACTGTAAAAACCCGCAGACATCCTGGGGTCTCTATCTCTGTCTTTGTTTTTACTTTGATTTTGGTTTATCATATTGTTTTTTAGTATACACTTTTTAAGACAGAAATACTTTATAAAGACTTTTCCCCGGGGTTTTGGTTTTTCCTCTTTCATAATTTATGCCTTCGGAAAAAAAAAAAACAAAATGTTTAGCAATAAATTTGTTTTGCATGGGGTTCCGACAGATTTGGGAAGCAAATACTTCCAAGAATCCTCAGCACCGGTTTTAGGGTGCAAAATTAACATTATGTTAGGCACGAAAGGGGTATAAATGTTACAGCACAAACCCTAACAGGGAAGTGTACCTCGAACTTTATCTTCGGAATTTTTTCTTTCTTTCGTCCATCTTCTGTATACAAGAACACTCTTCCCAGTCGCAACCGCTACTGGGATGAAATGAAGAAATACAAGTTTACGTCGTCAGTGCTAGGAACTACTAGTTTACGTCATCCGTGCTTGGAACTAGTAGTTTATATCAGAACTAGGAACGAAACGTCGTGTTGCTGACAGTAGCGAAGGAAAAGCACACATCAAACTTCCCTGCTTCCATTGGACATTGTCTCAATGAAAGCTTGCTAAGCTATGTCTTAAGCTGGTTACGCTATCTTGAGTTAAGCTGTTACTTAAGCACGCTGTGTCTTAAGCTAGTTAAGCAGAGTGTCTGTCTTCTCAACTACTAACTTGTTTATATCTGTGGAGCTGGGAAATAGTAGTAGCAGTAGTTTGTATCATAAGGATCGGGAACTAGACGTTAATACAATCGGAGCAGGGAATTACTAGTTTATATCGTTAGTCCTAGGAACACAATGTTTGTATCGTCAGTATTAACAAGTAATTTATATCGTCAAACCTAGATACACAATGTTTATATCGTTAGTATTATTAACTACAAGTTTATATAGTCAGAGATAGGAATTAATATTGTACATTTTTAAAACTGGGAACTATGTTTATATTGTCAGGTGTGAGAACCAGTACTTCATAAATGTCAGACGGTCAGCTAGTATATAGTACCTGATAAGGTTCAACGGCGAGTTAATCAAGGCAGTGCAAAGGTCGTAAAGTTCTTCAATAATAAGAGTGATAAGTTCCCGTAGGCGTGTGCGCGTGAGAGTGAACGTGCGGCAGCGAGCGAACGCGTCGAGAGATTGAGTGACGCTGGAGATGATGGAGGGCGAGGTGAGGGAGGGGAGGTGAGGTCCCGTGAGTGTGAGGTAAGCAGACACGAGCTGACCACTTGACCGGCTTCAGCAACTCCACCGCCTTGTGACACACAAATTGATCCTGTGGGGAGGGGAGGTGGAGGGTATGGTGTGGGGAAGTGGGACGTGATGTGCTAAACCGGAGTACATGGGAATAGTCAGTTAGAGAATTTTAAGAGTCCACACTGAACCTATCTGCTGAGAAGAATGATTTTCTGCTATTTAAATCAGGGACTATCTTGAATTATCTAGGTCTTTGAGGCAAGGGCAGTAAAACAGAAGGGCCCAAGACTGTTCAACTGCCTCCCAGCATACATCAGGGGGATTACCAATAGACCCCTGGTTGTCTTCCAGCAGGCACTGGACAGGCACCTAAAGTCAGTACCTGACCAGCCGGGCTGTGGTTCATACGTTGGATTGCGTGCGGCCAGCAGTAACAGTCTGTTTGATCAGGCCCTGATCCACTATGAGGCCTGGTCACAGACCGGGCCGCGGGGGCATTGACCCCCGGAACTCTCCATTCAATCCGGCCTCTGCCAGGATGAAAATATTAGGAAAATTATACTATACTATATCGGAAAAATTACAGAATTTATAGGGAAGATAAAAGTGGGTGGAAGGGATGAGTTACATCTACTCAATTAGAACTATGTCATAAGTAATCGTGGCACTGTACTGTGCACCAATGCTGTGGCTTACACACCCGTCTATTTCTGCCACTGCTGTTGTTAACTTGGTAGGCATGTCGCCAACCGATTGTCGTGATGCAGCAGCTGAACAGTTGAGTTCAGTTTGCCTCAGCGTAATATCTGGTTGAATCTTATACTTACAAAGTGCTTGTCCAACTGGTTCTTCAATAACTGTATTGTCATCGCGTTTACAGCTGGTGGGGTGGAGTGCGTTGGGGTGGGGATATTCTGAGGTGGGTTGGGGTGAGGATATATTGATGTGGGTTGGGGTGTGATGAGGTGGAGTGGAGTGGTACACAGGAGGCAAACGCAGCTCTGAGGAAGTAAACTTCACCCTGACACACGTACTAGCAGGAGGTCTATTTGTTCGTCCTTGTTTAAGAGGGACGAACAAATCACCCTGCCAGGGGGCGCCTTGATGCCGGTGAAGGGGGGGGGGGGTTGTACAAGAAAACTGCTTCTCACCCATTCATTGAATCACCTGTTTGCCTTCCGTTCCATAGACACTATAACTTTTATTTGCTTAGCTGTTTCCCGTAAATATATTAGATAACCCCAGAAGTGGACACCTATATGGCTGTCAGAATATTTTATTATTATTAAAGATTCGCCGGTAATTTTCCCGGCCCGGGCCTTTTCCAATTGGTGGCCCGGCCTTGGCTCCCTCTTAAGGGAGTGTCTGAGACCTAAGTCTCCCATGGGAGGAGGTATAAGTACCACCTCATCTTTGGGACCAACTGTCCACTCTGGGCTGCCATCCCCGCCCCAGGGGAGCTAATGGGAATGACAGTCTTTTGAGCTGTAAGCTCGAGCTCAGGCACCTACCCTACCCTAGAAGGGTTAGGCATGGTGTCGATTCAGAATATTTTCATTATCGTTTCTCTGCCATAACTTGAGAACGCATGTTCTGATCGATTTCAAACTTTCAATGCTGCTGTAACTTAGTGGAGGGTTTCCGAACTGTGACACTGCGAATTTCTCACTTGATTTAAAAATCAGAATTAGTGTTTATGCGGTTATTTGAAAAATGCCTCTTCTAATAGGCTTCAAACCTTAATTGTTGTTTAGGATCTGACTTGCCAATTATATTAAAAAACAATAACAATGCCTCTTCCGAACGCCTTCAAACTCACGACGTAGGTGTATCTAATTTTTAGGAAGAACTGTATTGGTGCTGGAATTTGAGTGCAACTCAATTTGGATCGAAAAACACAAGTAAATACACAAGAAACAAACTATAATCGGAAAAGCCTATAAAATATGTTTTTTTAGTTACGCTGTTATAAGGAATGTTTGTTACATATATATGAAGGTTATCCGCGTATCTTAGAGTTTATGAGATGTAAATAATGTACACAAAATTATGACAAACGTGGAAAAACCACAAAGTCGAAAAATCTAACGATTTAGTTTGACTTAGGGGCACCAGGATCACCAGGATCACCAGGATCACCAAGATCACCAGGACCACTAAGATCACCAGGATCACCAAGATCACCAGGATCACTAAGATCACCAGGATCACCAAGATCACCAGGATCACCAGGATCACCAGGATCACCAGGATCACCAGGATCACCAGGACCACAGATCACCAGGATCCAGCCCAGGACCACCAGGACCACCAGAGCCGATCACCAGGATCACCAGGATCACCAGGACCACCAGGATCACCAGGATCACCAGGATCACCAAGATCACCAGGATCACCAGGATCACCAGGATCACCAAGATCACCAGGATCACCAGGATCACCAGGATCACCAAGATCACCAGGATCACCAGGATCACCAGGATCACCAAGATCACCAGGATCACCAGGATCACCAAGATCACCAGGATCACCAGGTCACCAGGATCACCAGGATCACCAGGATCACCAGGATCACCAAGATCACCAGGATCACCAAGATCACCAGGATCACCAGGATCACCAGGATCACCAAGATCACCAGTCACAGGTACAGTCACCAAGATCACCAGGATCACCAAGATCACCAGGATCATCAAGATCATCAGGATCACCAGGATCATCAGGATCACCAGGATCACCAGCTGCACTAGGCTCACCGGGCTCACCAAGATCACCAGGCTCACCAAGATCACCAGGATCACCAAGTTCATCAGGATCACCAGAAACATTAGGATCACCAGGATCACCAGCTGCACTAGGCTCACCAGGCTCACCAAGATCACCAGGATCACCAGGATCACCAGGATCACCAGCTGCACTAGGCTCACCAGGCTCACCAAGATCACCAGGATCACCAAGATCACCAGGATCACCAGGATCACCAAGATCACCAGGATCACCAGGATCACCAATATCACCAGGATCACCAAGATCATCAGGATCACCAAGATCACCAGGATCACCAGGATCACCAAGATCACCAGGAACACCAAGATCACCAGGATCACCAGGATCACCAGGATCACCAAGATCACCAGGATCACCAAGATCACCAGGATCACCAGGATCACCAAGATCACCAGGATCACCAAGATCACCAGGATCACCAGGATCACCAGGATCACCAGGATCACCAAGATCACCAGGATCACCAAGATCACCAGGATCACCAAGATCATCAGGATCACCAGCTGCACTAGGCTCACCAGGCTCACCAAGATCACCAGGATTACCAAGATCACCAGCTGCACTAGGCTCACCAGGCTCACCAAGATCACCAGGCTCACCAAGATCACCAGGATCACCAAGATCATCAGGATCACCAGAAACATTAGGATCACCAGGATCACCGGCTGCACTAGGCTCACCAGGCTCACCAAGATCACCAGGATCACCAGGATCACCAGCTGCACTAGGCTCACCAGGCTCACCAAGATCACCAGGATCACCAAGATCACCAGGATCACCAAGATCATCAGGATCACCAGAAACATTAGGATCACCAGGATCACCAGCTGCACTAGGCTCACCAGGCTCACCAAGATCACCTGGATCACCAAGATCACCAGGCTTACCAAGATC